AGATTGTAATTCATCACTCTATAGTCAAGAAGTTAAAAACACACAAACCTGGGCAGTTTTAGTGGGACGCATCAGAAATTATGCAAGTGCCCCCTGCTGGCCCAACTGCAGCAGTGACAATAACAACAAACCCTATTAACTTCTTGGTCCATCTCCATTATCAAGACTTGCCAGCAGAGAAGTAGATGTAAACAAAAGGAAGTCCTATCTCTTGTGGTATTGGGGCTGGGAAACCAAAGCATTTTAGCTTCAAATAGGGAGAGTAAAAAATCACGTAGAAAGGCAGAGCCCTTGTAAATGGTCAAGAACTGATATCCTTGCACTGGGTTCTGGGAGCATTTCTATTGCCAAGACTCAGGTTGTATGTAAAGAATTAGGAAAAGGCTGAATTCCACTTGGCTTCTTTCACTAAGATGCAGACACTTCCCCCCCTCCTATTGATGATCTAATTTCTTATGTCCAGCCTAGACCGGAATGCTTATGGCCCTTTTGGGTAGGGTAGATAACCTGTGGGGGGAGAACTTTTGACCCATGTAACGTGTGTCAGAGATCAGTGCTTGTATGCTGTAGGTTGGGGTTGCTCTGAGGACCTTATGGTGGTGTGGTGTGGTGTCCTGTTTCATAGTAACTGGACATAGACAAGACTTTTGGGATTCATCTAGTCCAACCTGGCTTGTTCTCAAGGGTTTTGTCCAGTCCAGGTTTAAATGTTTTGAGTGATGAGGCACCTACCCCTTCCCTCTGGAGACCAGTTCTCAGCAGTATGAACAAGTTCCCTGAGATTCAATCTACTTTTCTGCACTTGGTTTACTTCCTTATTCCTAGCTTGAACCAGCCTATGCAATTCCTCAGCCTTATGCTAATTCTTCTGTACCTTGGTTTGTCAATCCATTGTTCCAGCCCCATGATAATTTATTTTCTGTCTCTGAACTCCCTTAAATTAATAGGTCCACATAAATGACATTTTGTCTCCTCTATTCACTAATCTTTTAATTCTGTTAGTTCTTTATTTATAATGCTTCCAATGCTGCTTACCACTCTTGGTTCTGTGATTCTCTGTGGATACTGATTTTTTCTCTCTCAAAATTTGTACTGTTTTACTCCTTCCTGCTCCTTGCATTTGTACAGACTCATTAAAGTCCAATGCTGCTCCCTTTGCTCATGTCTAATTCATTAGATGACTGTATAGTATGGGCATTAGATGACTGCTATGGTGTGAGCATTCAAATTCTGGGACCAGGGCCACATCCACAGCCGTGCATGTTAGTGTGGGGCCTGTGGCATGAACCAAACAGTCTTGGCTACATGGACCTATTTTGAGGTGTGCAGAAGATATTGGGATAACACTCTGGAGTGTTGGAAAAGAGCCTATGAAGAGACCTGTAAAGAAATCGGGTTTGTTGGGAATCAAATATCTGAAAAGTCTGAGAACAAATAGTACCTCTTGTATCATAAGAGACTGGACTGACTAAAGGCAGAAATTTGGCCACTGAGGGATTGGTATAATCCAATGCTGCATCACTGTGTGCTGTTCCACTCAGAGTTGCACAGGGATCTTGTGTAACCCTGTGCTTTGCCAAGTGCTATTGCATCTAGAGACTCATCAGGGATGTAGTATAACTGCAGTGTGCAAAATGCGGCTACTCCAACAAGACCCTACCTCACATCCTGTGTAGATGCCAACATCACTCCGGAGCCTGGCGGCACCGCCACAACGCCATCCAAAACCAGCTGGTGAAAGCCATCCTGCCGTCCCTGGGGAAGATCACCGTAGACTCTGCCATCCCCAGGACAGACAGCCGACTGCAATCCAAAATCGTCATGACCAACGTGGAAAAGGAGGTCCTCATGGTGGACGCAACGGTGCCATTTGAAAACAGGTCACCGGCCTTCCATGAGGCCCGAGCTCGGAAGGTGCTGAAATACACCCTGCTGGCCGACGCCCTGAGAGCCCAGGGCTACGAGGTCCAGATTCACGCCCTAGTCATGGAGGCCTTGGGGGGCGTGGGACCCCCCCACAACGAGCCAGTGCTAAGAGCCTGCGGAGTCAGTCGGCGCTACGCCCAGCTCATGAGACCGCTCATGGTGTCCGACACCATCAGGTGGTCCAGAGACATCTACACAGAGCACATCACGGGACATTTTCCGTATCCGGTTGAGTAATCGAGAACGCCGGTCAGGGAAATAACCCACTTCCTCCCCTGACAAACCAAGGGATGCACCCCACCCATGTACTTATTCACTACACCAATACTGACTTGGACTCTAAATACATTCTATGGGTGGCGTATCTGAGATCACTTATCCACTGATGTTTTAAAAACTCCCACACCCCAGTCTGGGTCTATGCTGGTTATGTTATATGTATGGATCCTGTGAACTTTGTAACCGATGCTTGTAATCACTCATAACTTGAGCCTGACCCCAGATGTACAGGACCTTCCCTCTTAACTTGTGTAAATTTGATTTTAAACATTAGCTTTAATAAAATTTATAACTTCAGTGTGCAAAGTGCAATGGCACTCTTCTCCCTTTTGAAGCGGTGCAGGGTTCATGTATTTTGCTTTGCTATTGTTGGGTGCTCAGGCTGTCGGTACCTCAGCTGCTGTCACTAACTCCATCTCTTGCCTTCTTCACAGAGCGCTATCGCTTGTCCTATAAGATTGTGAAAACAGACAGCCGCCTGGTGCGCAGCATTCTGACTGCCCATGGATTCCACGAGGTGTGTGCACCAGATCTCAAGGATATTGAGAGCCACTGAGTTTGGACACGTGCTGCGAAGGTTGAAATTCTGGGCTTCTTTCTGAATCAGGATATAGCACATGAACCTGGGCCTGTGGTGCTTTTAACCTTCAGCCAATCTATCAGGGAACACTGCACAATTCTACCATCTGCAGGGGTGCTCTTTGTTCTCTCATTGTAAACCCAGTTTTTGAAGTATCCTTAGCTGGAAGAATACAGGTTGATTTGTTTTTGTTTTAATTTCTACCCCCCTCCCCCCGACTTTTGGAGCCTCATTTCACACCCTAAGGTAGCAGGCAGGAGCGTGTGTGGTGATGCCTTATAATGCTTATCATTCTCTAGCACCTATCTGGTTCTATATCAGCACCCTGTGTACAGTCAAGGATATTTCAGTAGGTACCTGTGAGTGTTGAGTTCTTTTGTTTAAGAGACAGATTAGGGTTCAGTCTCCCAGGACTGTTGAGGGACTTCAGAATGCTTTATAAATGGATTTAGACTGCCTATGAAAATAGGTTTTTCCTAACAGCTGTGTCTAGGGTTGGGATGTGACAGCTATTTAATAGCTCCTAGCAAAACTGTGCAACATCTTGGGTTAAGAATATCACAAATTGTAGTGGGACCAATCCATGAGGCTAGAAACTTCCCATGTCCCTCAAAGTAGAGGGCAGAGTGCTTAGTTACTAGTGGTAGTATGGTCTGTCTCATCTGCTCCTTGGCTTTGTCCCATCCTCAGGTACACCCCAACAGTAGTGATTATAACCTCATGTGGACGGGATCCCACCTGAAGCCCTACCTGCTGCGCACCCTCTCAGATATTCAGAAAGTCAACCACTTCCCCAGGTAAGAGCTTTGCTGAACAAATTCACTAGTGTCTGGAGGGGACTGAAGATCAATGTCTCTAAGTAACGTGTGGGGTGGGTGATGCACAGGTCCCAGAACATCTGGACTGAGCCACACATTCTATCTCCCATTCCTATCTGGTAATAGGAAGATGGTACTTGGGTTTAGTGCCCTTGCCTTTCTAGCCCAGGTATGGGGCATCTCATTTTATTTGGTGCACAATTGAAGGGGGTTGGGTGGGTTCTTTGTAGGTCCTGGTAGATGTTTGTCCATGTCACTAAAACTACAGTTCTGGTCAGTCTCTGCCTTGGGAGGCCTATGACAGGAATAGCATGAGGTGCTGCAGATGAGGATTGAGGGGTATTGGCAAAGCTAAAGGGAGACCCTGGACTGGAATAGAAGGGGATGCTGCAGGTTGGGATTGAGGTTTCTCTGGTAGAGCTGAGAGCCCTAGTAACTAAACCCTCAGTGTTAGGACACTGGTGTGGGTTGCTGAGGGATGCTTCATGGAGAAGACAAAGCTGCTGCTTTTGTAATTTCAGGTCCTATGAACTGACCCGTAAAGACAGGTTGTACAAGAACGTTAGTCGCATGCAGTACACCCACGGGTTCAAGACATTCCACATCTTACCTCAGACCTTCATCCTGCCAGCAGAGTACCAGGAGTTCTGCAGTAAGTGACTGGCTGGCAATGCCCAGCCCCTGAACAGCAGCCAGGGAGTAAGTAGGTGTATGTGGGGGATTGTGCTTATCCAGTTTTTCCCTTGGGCCCCTGAGAGAAACAACTCAGCTTGTGATCTGAACAACAAAATTGCAGGGAAGGGAGGCTAGAATAACACTATTGGAAACAGTTTTTTTTTTTTTGGCTTGTTTATATCATCCCTGTCCTATGAGTGTTGCTTACCCCATGCCTGGGTGAGTCCATAGCCTCAATGTGAGAGCTGAGCCCTTCAGCATTATCAGCTGCAGATGAAAGAAATCCTAGTGCTTGAGGGCTAATGGGTCTGAGCATCAGAAGGCTTATCCTTAAGAATTGCCGTAGGCCAACACCATAGCATCTCTGGCCAACATCTGGGAATGCTAGCGGGAGGGGGAAGCACCAGGAGGAATATCAGACTGAGAAGAGAAGCCAGTGTCTAGTTTAAGTGATAAGACTTACTGAGGGCATTTGGGGCTTTCTGACACCATAGGGAAAAGCAGGACAAGTGAAGGAATTGTCCACATTTATGCTAGAACTGTTAGACGCTCTGTAAGAGTTCCCATTGTGGGGAACGCCCTGGCAGCCCTTGCAAAAAGTTGGAAGACTTTTCAGATTCATGCTTCTCTCTCTTGACTAGGTTCTTATTCAAAGGACAGGGGTCCCTGGATAGTGAAACCTGTGGCCTCTTCCAGGGGGCGAGGTGTCTACCTGATCAACAATGTAAGTGTTCAGGAGAATGCTGACCTTCCCCAGATAATGCTGCATTCCATTCCCTCCCATTTTCACCCTTTGGCAAGTGCCATGGTAATCTCACCAGCAGATGGCACTGCTGTCAGTTTCAGCACCATTATGTATCTGGTAGGTGATCAGCACCCCCAAGCAGCTGGCATGCCCCACAGCATCCTATTTTTCCATGATTCATGTCCTGCAACACATGCCTTTTAAGTCTCAGATGCAGCAGTAACCAGAAGACTGTTCCTGATGCAATATGAATAGCTGTGCAGCTGCATCCTGGGCTTCCCTAATGGTGAAGGCTGCCTTGGGGAAAAAAGCTGTAGGAGTGGGGCCCCCAGGCTGTCCGTCTGACATGGAGAGCTGGATCCTATATTCATCATTGTACATCTTACCTTCACTGGCCCTGAGTTGTCTTCTCCCATGGCTATTTGATTGCCCCAATTAGTTGAGTAACTTTCAACAAAGTGAAATCCCCCAGTGGTAGGGAGAGGCCTTTGTTCTGTGTTCTGGATACAGAGGGCTCTGGGATTCATGGTGCCAGGCCTCTCTTGAGGGCTGATGCTCTGAGCACAATGTGCTGGCTGTAATAGTTGCCTTGCCCTTTGCATGCTGTGCAGAGAATCCGTTTCTCACTAGTGGCAATTGAGTCTCAACTGGAGCCAAGAGGGGTTGAGGGGATTCTGAGCCTTAAGGACTAATGGGACAAATGTTCCTGGCATACTACCAAGCTGGTTGCTGAGTCACTGTGTTCATTTACTCCCTCCTCTGTCCCTGCAGCGAAGGGGCCAGGTTGCCTCATCTGTCCTCTACCTGGATTCTTTCCCATGGAATAAGGGAGCAGCTAGCCAAGTGCATGAAGTAACTCTTTCCAGAGCTGCACTCAGCTTTGCTCTTTGTTTGAAGGAGAGGGAGTGCATGCTCAAGTGATGGGAAGGTAGCCATGAACTGAGGAAAGGGCCCTCCTGGGATCTCTCTCTCTGTATCTATTCCAGCAGTATGTCAGCTAGTTTGGCCCAAAGATTTCCCTTTTCTTAGTGTGACCTCCACACAGGGAGTGTTTTCTAGAATCTATTCATGGAAAGTGTTTTTAAAAAATAAAAATCCTCAACTATTTCTCTGATTCAGAGTAAAACACGCTGCCATTTTTGTCTCATACCAAGAGAGCCTGAGCTCTCTCTGATTCTTTAGTTAGCCTAGATTTCCCTTGGCCTGAACAGGAGCAATGTGGATCTCCAGACACAAGTGAATGAAAGACAGGGAGGTGGATTAGATTTGGCTCCTTCACAAACTGGGACAAGAATCTGTTAACTAATCTGAACCATTTTTAGTGGCAAGGGGCAGAAAGAGGGATTTACAGACAGTGAAGAGTGAGTCTCCTGAAGAGGTTGCTTCCTGCAAGCTACACCGCTTCCCTTCCCAATCAGTGACCTGTGCCTGTGATGCTGAAAAGTGTATTTGTCATAGAGCTATAATGGGGAGCTTCCTATCGTGAGCTCCATGTCAGTACAGCAGCCTCACTGCTGTCTGACACTGGGATAAGGGGAGCTCAGCTAGGCAGGGTGAGTAGTTGGGTAACAGCCCTGGAGCTGGCCACAGAGATTGAAGATGTGAGGCGGTCATCTCCCCCACTCTTGGCTCTCTCCTTCCATATGCTGGAGACCCTCGAAATTAAGATCTTGGCACAGGATTTAGTCCTTCTATTCCTGGATCTCCACCAATAGCCAGTCCTGGATGCCTGAGAAGAAAGCAAGCCCTCTAATCCTGTGCTTGGTCAATATATCTAACATCAATCACAGTAGTAGGGAGTCAATGTGACTGTCATTTCTGAGACTTTCAGCCCCTAACCTGTTGTGTATAATTGCTGTGTAGCTGTTAAATAGCTTTTGAGACCAATTCAGGAGGACACTTATGTGTGTGATTTTTAAATTTATATATTATGTGTAAAGCACTTTGGGAGCTCTGGGGTGGCAGGTTCTTTGGAAATGTAATAACACCCTGATTAAGCTTCTGATCAGGGTCTAATTACCCTAAATACCCTGTTACTGGCCAGGCTTTCCCCTAGCAGCAGCTGCAACAGCACAGAGTGACTTTACAATGGAAAGGTTCTTAGTAAAATCAGCCCTTGGATTCGTGGTTTCCTCACTCTTGGTCTGATGCTGTGTCTTGTTCTGTAGCCAAACCAGATTTCCCTGGAAGAGAATATCCTGGTGTCCCGCTACATCAACAACCCCCTGCTCATAGATGGTGAGTGTGTAGGAATTGACTTCTTCCTCTGAGTTTCCTGACCGGATGGTCTCAGTAGCCTATGTATAGCTATTTGGGCTGCCACGCCTTCTTTGATAGGTAAATCTCTCCAGCACCGTAGAACTATGGTTGGGGGGTGGGGGTGGAAGAGATTCTTCAAACCCAGGCTCTGAACATCAAGTCAGCAGAAGCTGATAGACTCTGCTGTCTATTTTACACCTCCATCGCTCTCAGAAGGGTCTGTTGCTTCCCCCCTCAGCTGGGTTCAGATTCTAGTGGCTCTTGGGAAGTATTTGTGGTCACTGATTCCTGCTAATCCTCTTCCAGATTTCAAATTCGATGTGCGCCTGTATGTACTGGTGACGTCCTATGATCCACTTGTTGCCTACCTCTACGAGGAAGGACTAGCCAGGTAGGATGCACACCCCTTCCCTCAAGGCAGTTGAACCTGAAGCTCTAGGATCAAGAGAGCTTCTCCCTACCCTTGCCATGTTCATCTTTGATTCAGAGGCATGCCTCAAAGTTTTAGTTGTAGGTATTTAGTGATGCTGGTGTGTTTTGTTTCCCCCACCCCCATGCCTTAGACTGCATTAGAGTAACTGATTTTAATGACGTGGTTATGGGAGGGAAAAAGCCTTGATAAAGCAAATTCTTGGAGTGATTGTCCACACAAATTCCATTTTTGGTGCACCTGCACCCCACGCACTTGATCAGATTCTTTTTGGCTAGTGTCAATTGGGGCCATGCCTGGTCCCTAGGTACCCTTCCCCCAACTACCCCCAGGCAAAGTGGACCCAACCATTTCTCAGTTCCTTCTTGCTATCTGTGGAGCCCCAGCACTGTCTGCTTCTCTTGAGCCGTCTGATTCACCTTCGATTTTAGGATTAGCTCATTTGTGAGCAAGAATTAGTTGTTTCCTTTTGCCAGTTGGTGCATGTAAGAATATAAGAGGCCATACTGGGTCAGACCAAAGGTCCATCCAGCCCAGTATCCTGTCTACCGACAGTGGCCAATGCCAGGTGCCCCAGAGGGAGTGAACCTAACAGGTAATGATCAAGTGTTCGGTCTTCTGCCATCCATCTCCACCCTCTGACAGAGGCTAGGGACACCATTCCTTACCCATCCTGGCTAATAGCTATTAATGGACTTAACCTCCATGAATTTATCTAGTTCTCCTTTAAACCCTGTTATAGTCCTAGCCTTCACTGTGTGAAGATGAACTTCCTTTTATTTGTTTTAAACCTGCTGCCCATTAATTTCATTTGGTGGCCCTAGTTCTTATTATGGGAACAAGTAAATAACTTTTCCTTATTCAATTTCTCCACACCACTCATGATTTTATATACCTCTATCATATCCCTCCTTAGTCTCCTCTTTTCCCAGCTGAAAAGTCCTAGCCTCTTTAATCTCTCCTCATATGGGACCCATTCCAAACTCCTAATCATTTTAGTTGCCCTTCTCTGAATTTTTCTAATGCCAGTATATCTTTTTTGAGATGAGGAGACCACATCTGTACGCAGTATTCAAGATGTGGGCATACCATGGTTCTATATAAGGGCAATAAGATATTCTCTGTCTTATTTTCTATCCTTTTTTTTAATGATTCCTAATATCCTGTTTGCTTTTTTGACTGCTGCTACACACTGCATGGACGTCTTCAGAGAACTATCCACGATGACTCCAAGATCTCTTTCCTGCTTCGTTGTAACTAAATTAGCCCCCATCATGTTGTATGTATAGTTGGGGTTATTTTTTCCAATGTGCATTACTTTACATTTATCTGCATTAAATTTCATTTGCCATGTTGTTGCCTAATCACTTAGTTTTGCGAGATCTTTTTAAGTTCTTCACAGTCTGCTTTGGTCTTAACTATCTTGAGCAGTTTAGTATCATCTGCAAACTTTGTCACCTCACTGTTTACCCCTTTCTTGAGATCATTTATGAATAAGTTGAATAGGATTGGTCCTAGGACTGACCCTTGGGGAACACCACTAGTTTTCCCTCTCCATTCTGAAAATTTACCATTTATTCCTACCCTTTGTTCCCTGTCTTTTAACCAGTTCTCAATCCATGAAAGGATCTTCCCTCTTATCCCAAGACAACTTAATTTACGTAAGAGCCTTTGGTGAGGGACCTTGTAAAAGGCTTTCTGGAAAGTACACTATGTCCACTGGATCCCCCTTGTCCACATGTTTGTTGACCTCTTCAAAGAACTCTAATAGATTAGTAAGACATGATTTCCCTTTACAGAAACCATGTTGACTTTTGCCCAACAATTTATGTTCTTGTATGTGTGACAATTTTATTCTTTACTATTGTTTCAACTAATTTGCCCGGTACTGACGTTAGATTTACTGGTCTGTAATTGCCGGGATCACCTCTAGAGCCCTTTTTAAATATTGGCGTTACATTAGCTATCTTCCAGTCATTGGGTACAGAAGCTGATTTTAAAGGACAGGTTACAAACCATAGTTAATAGTTCTGCAATTTCACATTTGAGTTCTTTCAGAACTCTTGGATGAATGCCATCTGGTCCCGGTGACTTGTTACTATTAAGTTTATCAATTAATTCCAAAACCTCCTCTAGTGACACTTCAATCTGTGACAATTCCTCAGGTTTGTCACCTACAAAGGACGGCTCAGGTTTGGGAATCTCCCTAACATCCTCAGCTGTGAAGACTGAAGCAAAGAATTCATGTAGTTTCTCCGCAATGACTTTATCATTTTTAAGTGCTCCTTTTGTATCTCAATCATTCAGGGGCCCCACTGGTTGTTTACAGGCTTTCTGCTTCTAGTGTACTTAAAAACATTTTGTTGTTACCTTTTGAGTTTTTGGCTAGCTGTTCTTCAAACTCCTTTTTGGCTTTTCTTATTACATTTTTACACTTAGTTTGGCAGTGTTTATGCTCCTTTCCATTTATCTCACTAGGGTTTGACTTCCACTTTTAAAAAGATGCCTTTTTATCTCACTGCATCCTTTACATGGTTGTTAAGCCACGGTGGCTTTTTTAGTTTTTACTGTTTTTTGTTTTTTGTTGTTTTTTTTTAATTTGGGGTATACATTTAAGTTGGGCCTCTATTATGGTGTCTTTGAAAAGTGTCCATGCAGCTTGCAGGGATTTCACTCTAGTCACTGTACCTTTTTAATTTCTGTTTAACTAACCTCATTTTTTGCATAGTTCTCCTTTTTGAAATTAAACGCCACAGTGTTGGGCTGTTGAGGTGTTCTTCCCACCACAGGAATGTTAAATGTTATATTATGGTCACGATTTCCAAGTGGTCCTGTTAGTTACCTCTTGGACCAGATCCTGCACTCCACTCAGGACTAAATCGATAATTGCCTCTCCCCTTGTGGGTTCCTGTACCAGCTGCTCCAAGAAGCAGTCATTTAAATTACCGAGAAATTTTGTCTCTGCATTTCTTCCTGAGGTGACGTACCCAGTCAATATGGGGATAATTGAAATCCCCCACTATTGAGTTCTTTATTTTGATAGCCTCTCTAATCTCCCTTAGCATTTCATTGTCACTATCACTGTCCTGTTCAGGTGGTCGTTAATAGATCCCTACTGTTATATTCTTAGAAGAGTATGGAATTGCTGTCCATAGAGATTCTATGGAACATGTGGATTCATTTAAGATTTACTTCATTTGATTTCTACATTTTCTTTCACATATAGTGCCACCTTTCCCCCTTCCCCCCCGCACAATCTGTTCTGTTCTTCCGATATTATTTTGTACCCCAGAATGATTGTGCCCCATTGATTTGTTCTCACTCCACCAGGTCTCTGTGATGCCTATTATATCAATATCCTCCTTTAACACAAGGTACTCTAGTTCACCCATCTTATTATTTAGACTTCTAGCATTTGTGTACAAGCACTTTAAAAACTTGTCACTGTTTGTCTGCTCTCTTCTAATGTGTCAGATTCTTTTTTATGTGAATGTTTCTCGTCTGATCTGGCCCATACTTTATCCTCTTCCATCCTCTCCTCCTGACTAAAACCTAGAGAATCTCTATCAATAGACTCTCCTCTAAGAGAAGTCTCTGTCCGATCCACGTGCTCCTCTGCAGCAATCGGCTGTACGTGTATATTATTTAAAAAAGGCAACAAGAAATATTGTGGATTTTGTCACTTAAGCTTAATTCCACCCCCCCAGCTGCTCTTAATGCCTACCCCATATAGGGGTTTTTAGATGGTGGCAAAGGCTAAAGTCGCCAAGGTTTAAGACCTGTCCCTTGTGTGACAGTCGATCAGTGATGGATGCTGTCCGTGCCCGATGTGCCTTAGGGAAGGACACATTGTGGAATGTTGTTCTGTGTGGTGTTTACTTCTCCAGGTGTACCCAGACAGTGAGTGACTGAGGTGAGGCTGAAGTTTTTCCTGCTGGAGAAGTCAGTGCAGGTTTCCTCAGACTCTGGAATACCTTCAGAGAAGCCTCAATGTGTGGGTCTGTCCATCTCCCTCAGTTGCACTCCCAGGCCACTTCCTCTGAAAGGCCTCATTTGTCTACCAGTACATCAGCATTGATGTCTGGTAGAGGCAGGAAGGAGCATTGTTCTAGAGATGACCCCAGACACAGGTTGGGCCTCCTGCTGGTGCCAGGGAAGGGAAATCATCCCCTCATCTTCCTTCTCCCCTCTGGATCGCTCAGGGGAAGTCAGAGAAAATCTAGATATTCAGTTACAGGAGCTAAGAACACATCGTCACAGGGAGCTCTCGTCCTGGTATCATTGATGTGCCCTTCTCCCCACTCTCCTTCCTGCACTGATCATACTGGATCCCCTGGGATATTCAGCCCTATTTCTGAAAGCCAGCATTCCCACTGTATCCAGAGCTAGGTCTCCCTCACTGAAGAGACACAAATTCAGTTTCCACAGATGAGTTGAGCTCTACAGCTGCTGAAGAGGCAAGAGGAGAAGAATGGAGAAGAACCACATTCTCCTGAGCAGGAGCATCAAATCCCAGCTCCAATGTTGTCCTGCCCTGATGAGGCAGTGACCATACCTTCACTGGCTTCAGAGGATTAATTCATTGTCTTCCAGGACCTGATAAAACAGATGGCTGATACCCTGTTTGTCCCTCTAGAGACTGTAGAAGAGAATCATAGAAATGTAAGCCTAGAAGGATCTCGATAGGTCCTAGTCAAGTCACCTGCCCTGAGGCAGGACTAAGTAAACTCTTGGATATACTTGATCTAACTTGAGGAAAGTTGGCTGTGCCAGTCAGCAATGGTCTGCTGTAACATGCCAGATGGATGTTGCAGACACCAGCTTATGTCTACTAATTTCAAGAAAGCAGACAGAAGATATGCCTCTGAATATTTTTATTAGCATCCCATACCTGGCACTCTTGTGGTACAAGCTGTATCGGAGAGAACAAAACAGTAAGTCCTACAAAATACCCAGGTGAG